GGCAAGGGTCATTTCCTGCAGGAGTGCACAGGAGCAGAGCTCCGGCAGTAAGGAGCCCAGGAGGCGGGCACATGCAACAAGCCCCGCCCCCTGCTCCCAGCAGCCCTCAGTCAGGCCACAAGGAGCAAGAAGCAGCCAGGTAAGTTGCAGAGGGCCCCCCCCTCTTTCAGGTACAAGCTCTCCCTCCTCTGTGAGGAAAGTTTTGCACGTTTCCCCCCCCCCCAGTAGCTAGCAATCCAAAACAGTCCAGTGGCGCCTGAGCGGTGGGTGTTGCCTTCTGACACACTTCCGGTGATGTCAGGGGGTGTGGCATATGCAAATAAGTTACGCTAATGAGTCATGCTAATGAGCTCCTGCACCTCCTTTTCTACAAAATGACCCCTGCTTACAGGGTTCCAGGCTCAGTTTGCAGTACAGATTCTTTTGAGCCCTTTGTGGCCCAGATCCACACATCTGACAGAGCACCTCTCCCTTGCAGACATGTTTCAGCAGCCCACTTATGTGACTTCTCTATCGCGGCACTTGCCCTCCGGGATGCTCTCCCTGGTCTGTGCAGAGCGCACCGTCAGTATCGGCTTTTCAGGAGGCCTGTGAAGCCATGTTGTTTCTGGGACCAGCGTACCTTCGGGACTGCCTCCTCTGGTACGCTCTGCAGTTGGGCTCCCGCTTTCACACCCGATCTCCAGCTGACAGAGGTCAGCTCCCCTGCAGAACATGGCTGCTTTGAAGGGTGGACTCCATGGCATTGTACCATGCCAGTATGATAATGCCAGTATGATAATGCCCCTGTATAAATCAACGGCGCAACTCATTTGGAGTACTGTGTACAGTTCTGGTCACCACACCTCAAAAAGGGTATTATAGCATTGGTAAAAGTGCAGAAAATGGCAACTGGAATGATAAAAGGGTTGGAACACTTTCCCTATGAAGAAAGGTTGAAGCGCTTGGGGCTCTTTAGCCTGGAGAAACAGCGGCTGAGGGGTGACATGATCGAGGTTTATAAGATTATGCGTGGGACAGAGCAGGTAGAGAAAGAAGTACTTTTCTCCCTTTCTCACAATACAAGAACTCGTGGGCACTCAATGAAATTCCTGAGCAGTCGGGTTAGAACAGATCAAAGGAAGTACTTCTTCACCCAAAGAGTGATTAACACATGGAATTCACTGCCACAGGAGGTGGTGGTGGCTACAAGCATGGACAGCTTCAAGAGGGAATTGAATAAGTATATGGAGCAGAGGTCCATCAGTGGCTATTAGCCACAAGGTATAGATAGGAACTCTTGGTCTGGGGCAAGGGATGCTCTGTCTTCTTGGTGCTTGGAGTCCTGGTATTTTTGGCCACTGTGTGACCCAGAGTGTTGGACTGGATGGGCCATTGGCCTGATCCCACACTGGCTTCTCTTATGTTCTTATGCTGAGACCCCTCCCCTCCCCAAACCCCGCCCTCTCCTGGATCCACCCCCAAAGTCTCCAGGTATTTTCCAACCCAGACCCGGCAGCCCTACTCTGCAGAGAACAACTTACTGGTGATCCCCTGGCCCTAAGGAGATCCGGCTGCCCAATTCCACCAGGGCCCTGCGGGGTTTAGTGCAATTCCACAATTCCTCGGGGCCTGCTGGGCAGAGATGTTCTGCCAGGCCTTTGGCTGAGGGCAGCAACGGCTCCATCCTCCTGGCACCCTTCTCTTTTTCTCCATCATCCCTGCTTTCTCCGGCTTCTTCCACCCCCGCCCTGCCCGCAAGACGGATGCACAGTCCGGAGTGGCTTGGAGAAAAATGGACATATGAACACCACCTGAGATGGATGTATCGATTTTAAATTGTTTTTAAGATGCTCCTAATGGTTTTTTAAAACGATGTACCTTGCCGAGGGCCTTGTTGCCCTACAGGGATCGGGCGATTCAGAAGATTAATTTAATAAACAATAAATCAATGAGTTGTGGGGCAAACCGTCTGGTGACCGGGGCTTCTTGAATCTGATTCATACTGGGGACTTTAACGCATCACCTTATTTGCGCTTGTAGCACCTTCGGCTTCTAGGGATGGTGGGGCCGAAAAAGGGATAAGCGATCCCAGAGAAATAACAGATAATGTGCCACCCCCCCCCCCCAAAAAAAATATTCACAGCAAAAAGTTCCAGAGAAGAAAACTCCAGCAGTGGACAGCACAGAGTTACTAGGGGAAACCCTGCAGACCTCAGGTTGCCAGCTCTGGGTTGGGAAATACCTGGTGATTTTGGGGGGTGGAGCCTGGGGAGGGAGGGGCGGGGCTTGGAGGGGAGAGGGACTCAGTAGGGGACGTCTTAAAATCCGCCTTCCAAAGCAGCCGTTTTCTCCGGGGGAACTGACCTTGGTTGTCTGGAGACCAATTGGGATAGCAGGTCATAAATATTGCAAATTTGACCACCACAGGTTTACCTAGTTATCATAGAATCAAAGAATCATAGAACGTTAGAGTTGGAAGGGACCTTGCAGGTCATCTAGTCCAACCCCCTGCACTCTGCAGGAGCATAGCCGAAAGAGAGCCCTACATAGCTACAACATATCCAAAAGATGGCCGTCCAGCCTCCGCTTGAAAACCTCCAGCGAAGGAGCACCCACCACCTCCCAAGGCAGACTGTCCCACTGCTCAACCACTCTTACAGTTTGGAAGTTTCTCCTGATATTTAGCCGGTAACGACTCCCTTGTAATTTCCACCCATTAGATCTAAGTCTTGCAATCCGGAGCAAGAGAGAATAGATCTGCTTCATCTTCTACATGACAGCCCTTCAAATGAAGACTGCAATCGTGTCCCCTCTAAGCCTTCTCTTCCCCAGGCTAAACAGACCCAACTCTTTCAGCCTTTCCTCGTAAGACTTGGATTCCAACCCTCTCACCATCCTGGTTGCCCTCTTCTGGACACGCTCGAGCTTGTCAACATCCTTCCTAAAATGTGGTGCCCCAAACTGGACACAGTTAATATCTCTAATGATAACCTCAGAGTGTTCTTTGCAGCTTCGTGATTCCAAGCTATGAAAACAGCCCTTTTGGCTGGCCGTTATTCGCAGACTCCAAACGAGCAATGTCTCTGCGCTTGTGGTTTGCCAGAGGTGGAGGACCTTCCTCACTACATGCTCTACTGTCCGCTTCAGCAGGGACTCTATCAGGCATGCAAGGGCACTCCCAGAAACCGAGAAGATTGCCGTGCCTGCTCTCAGACAATGATGCTTATCTATCCCACAGAGTTTCCCTGTCTGCTTTAGCAGCATCTAAGATTAAATCTAAGGGGCAGGCTACTTGATGGTGATCAGACCTGTTTTATTCTTCTTTTATCACGGACTAGTAGTTAATTTTAACCCGGTCACTAAGGTTGTATTTTAACGTTTTAACGTTTTATGGATGCTCTGCTGCATTTTGTATTTTGTAACAGGCCAATGGCTAAATACAATAAATTACTTGACGTGACTAATAGCAGGTCTTTGGGTGCCACCTGGATGTTGGCCGCCCTCTGCTAACCCCATAACTAGCCATTTGACAGATCCCAGCCAAACCCCACCCACGGAGGGCTTTCAAGGGAAGTGTTATCTGTGCCCTGCGGGATTGACTATCTTTCTGCAGGGCGTGCAAGGCAGAGATGTTCCCACCAGGCATTTGGTTGAGGACGGCGAGGGGACAGTATAAAATCTGGCACTCTCTCTCTCACACACACACACCATCCTCTGCAACCACCTCCCTCTCCCACCAGGCGGCTTGTGGAAATTTAAAATCTCTTCCGCCATCTTGGGAAATGTACTGTTTTATTTCCTGATACACAACAGACAATTTTAAAGTTGGTTTTAACTGCATTATTTATTGTATCTGTTCTGTTGTAAGCCGCCCGGAGCCCTGCTTTCAGGGAAGGGCGACCTAACAAATCTAATTTAATAAATAAATGATAATAAATAATTATTGGACAACTCCACTCCACTCTTCACCTCCTCTCTAGCTGAGGCACCCCCCCCCCAGTGCTTGAAAGGAAGAAGAAGAAGAGGAAGAAGAGGAAGAGGAGGAGGAGGAGAAGAGGAGATTGGATTTACTACCCAAAGGAGCCTTTCACTACCCAAAGGAGTCTCAGAGCGGCTTACAAACTCCTTTCCCTCCCCCTCCCCACAATAGACACCCTCTGAGGCAGGCGGGGTTGAGAGAGCTCTTTCGAGGACTGCTCTTGAGAGAAGAAGAAGAGACTGGATTTATACCCCACCCTTCACTACCCAAAGGTGTCTCAGAGCGGCTTACAAACTCCTTTCCCCTCCCCTCCCCACAACAGACACCCTGTGAGGTAGGTGGGGCTGAGAGAGCTCTTTCGAGGACTGCTCTTGAGAGAAGAAGAAGAGATTGGATTTATACCCCACCCTTCACTACCCAAAGGTGTCTCAGAGCGGCTTACAAACTTCTTTCCCATCCCCTCCCCACAACACACCCTGTGAGGGAGGTGGGGCTGAGAGCTCTGACAGAAACAGTTCTTTTTCAAGAACAGCTGTGCCAGAACTATGACTTGCCCAAGGTCATCCAGCAGGTGCAAGCGGAGGAGTGGGAAATCAAACCCGGTTCTCTCAGATTAGAGTCCATGCACTTAACCACTGCACCAAACTGGAAGATGGTGAAGATCCCCAAAACCACACAGGGAAAGAAACCTAGGATGAGACGTCCACTTCAACTTTCACATAAGACAACGTATCTCTAGGTGTTATGTATGCAAAATATCTTACCTGTCTATGTTTGATCGCTTGCATTTGAATGGAATGTACCTTTTGTACTACTTGTTTTGAGCATCAGCAGCGGCATAATTGTTAGATATTGTACTATTTGAAAAACTAATTAAAATTTAAATGAAAAAAACAACCCATATGAAAATGGAAGACTTGCCAGCACTGAGGGTTTCTTCAGCCTTTTCCTCGGCCATCGTACACTACGAAGATGAAGCTGAGAAAAAGTAAAGCTTACCCATGTGCCTACAAATCCCCCCCCCCCGGTCATTTCTCACCTATAAGATAGACCTTCTTCCGTCCAAAACGATCGGAGAGTTGGCCGAAGGTGATCACCCCCACAAAAACACCGCTGAAGAAAAATGAGCTGGCGGCGCTGATCTTGTATGATGTGCTGCCGATTAAAAACCACTAGGGGGAGAAGAAGGGACATTAGACAGAGTCTGACAGAACGGAAGAGTAAGGACTTCCTTTAAAAAAAACCCCACACACATGGAAACACCTCAAGAGGATGGAAATGTAAATCATATTAAAAAACCATCTCCCTGCGGCTCCCTCAAGGATACTCTAACAAGCACAGGAGAGATGTCACACCTCAAAACCAAGCAACAGACAAGAAGTTACAGTTTTCAAAGCCCAGCAAATGCCGCTAGAATTTTCATGCCTGGCTATTTTCCCCTGTAGACTGACATGCATTTCTAATGCTCACACACAAACAAACCATCTCGAACCCAAAGGAAAGATGGGTGTGAGTATTTTAGTAATTAATTAATTAATTAATTAATTAAACCTATAGGAATAGAATTTAGATAAAGTAAAGGTAAAGGTTTCCCTTGGTCGAAAGCCAGTCGAATCCGACCGCATGGTGCTCATCTCTGTTAGGTGGGCAACGGCAAACCACCTCTGACCGTCTCTTGCCTGGAAAACCCCGTGGGGTCACCGTTAAGTCAGCTGCGGCTTATGGCAAACCAGAAGGCTATAAAATCTGCAAGTTCGCTAGCTAAGGAAACAAATGTTATTCACCTCATTTCAGCTCTGCCATTCTCCTCAGTGGGAACCCAAAGCCGCTTACAGCATTCTCCTCTCCTCCATTTTATCGCCATGACAACCCTGTGAGGGTAGGTTAGGTTGAGAGGGCGTGACTGACCCATGGTCACCTAGTGAGCTTCTGTGGCAGAGTGGGGATTGAAACCTGCGTCTCCCAGACCCTAGTCCTGCACTCTATTCAGGGGCCAGCCAGATCTCGGGAGCTAAGCAGGGTCGGCCCTGGCTAGTATTTGGAAGGGCGACCTCCAAGGAATACCAGGGTTGTGACACAGAGGCAGGCAATGGCAAACCATCTCTGAAACGCCTCTTGCATGAAAATCGAATCCAGCTCACCACCTAGTGGTACATCATGCTGAAAGAGCTAGAACGTCTGGCTGCCAGACAATCTTAGAACCTCCTGGCTACACTACACACAAGGCCGTACGATAATTATTATTAATTACAGGGGCTCTTAGCTATAAGAACTCTTCCCAGTAGTCACTGACTGGAAACAAATGAGGCCAGGTATATAAATGTAGGCATGTCAATGGGATGGGCAACAGGATTGGATCTTGGCAGGTAAAGAACATTGGACTGGGGACCACGGGAGGAAGTGGGTGACGGCCGGCACACCAGATGCGGGAAACTGTTTTGGGAAGGATGACCCCAAAAGCTCCATGGATGCAAGTCACTAAAATAATCTTATGACTGGAAAAGCAAGTGCTAAATCACCCGAATACTGCCACGCACTCCGGTACCACTGTCAAGGACTATAAAAAAACCACAGAAAGAAAGCAGCGTGATACTTTTGTTAGGAAGGCAGTTGTCTCCACAGGTCACACAGTCAGTGGCCAGGTTTTTAAAAAGCATTTGGAAGGTGTCGTAAAGTGTGGCCATTCCCCAAGGCTGGCTGAACCACTAGAAGAGTTTCACAAGAGCCCACATGCAAGCGGGGCACATCTTCCAGTACATACAGCTGTACAAGAGGACTACGTTTGTCCTCACACACAACCTCTTGCCTCTGGTACAACCAGTAGCTTGGGTGTGTGTGTGTTATTCCTTGTGTTTTCTAACAAGAGCTGCCAATGCAACAGTAAAGATTTTTAAAAACAAGGTGAATGCTACCAAAAGGGCAGAATGAGTTATCATGGCCAGCTGCTGCATGGACATCCTTGAATTTCACTGCATGGCCAACGAGGACCACAACGCACATCCCGTCTTTTCCTTCCATCGCTGCAATCTGGATTCTATCAGGAAAAAGAGGAGATCTGGGCAATGTTCCCTCTAAGCTGTGGAGTCTTGTGAGCAAAAATTCTACTTTGTGAGCTACTGGAATTAAAGTTGTGAGCCAACGATTTGGCTGCTGCCTGGAGCCATCTTTCCTGAGCTAAGACAAAAGCCTGTGAGCTGGAGTCTAAAAAAACCTGTGAGCGAGCTCACACTAACTCAGCTTAGAGGGAACACTGGATTCAGGATGCGTGGGGCAGTATAGATTTATGAATTCCGGGATTGCATGTATTAAAAGGTCAAAAACACAGGTACCGATTTCCATTTTCCTGAAGGCGACTGTAGAGTGTTTGATGTTGTTTCCAGCCGCCTACCATCTCCCATTTCCAGTGAGACAAATTATTTAGGCGTCTGACAGCGCCTCCAAGACAGACGGGGAACAGATTACTTGTCAGAGAGCCACCAATCTGTCACAAAAACAGAAAGAACCCCTTCCGGGGCAGGCAAGGAGAGGCTATGGAAAGGCAGGCAGTCAGGAGGCACTTCCAGGAGAGTGAAACTAGGACGTCAGCAAGAAGTCAGAACCGTGGGTTGTGAGCAGTGTTCCCTCAAAGCTGAGTTAGTGTGAGCCAGCTCACAGTTTTTTAGCCTCCAGCTCACACATTTTTGTCTTAGCTCAGGAAGGAGGGCTCCAGAGCAGACTAATTTATGCAGTGGCCAAATCACATGCTCACAACTTTAATGCCAGTCGCTCACAAAGTAGAATTTTTGCTCACAGGACTCAACGGCTCAGAGGGATCATTGGTTGTGAGACTTCCTAATAATGGCCTGCTGACATGCACTTTTGGTAGTATGCAGGGGTCATTTCGTAGAAAACGAGGTGCAGGAGCTCATTAGCGTAACTCAGTAGCATAACTTATTTGCATATGCCACCCCCCCTGGCATCACCGGAAGTGTGTCAGAAGGCAACACCCACCGCTCAGGCTCCACTGGACTGTTTTGGATTGCTAGCTATTGGAGGGGGGGAGAATGTGCAGATCTGTCCTCGCAGAGGAGGGAGAGCTTGTACCTGAATAAAACTTGGTCTTAAAGATGCCACTGGACTGTTTTGGGCCGGGTGGCTGCGGGGAACTTACCAGGCTGCTTCCTGCTCTAACTGAGGGCTGCTGGGAGCAGGGGGTGGGGCTTGTTGCATGTGCCCGCCCCCTGGGCTCTTTACTGCCAGAGCTCTGCTCCTGTGTGCTCCTGCAGGAAATGACCCCTGATAGTATGCAAAGAAAACCGAAACTAGTAACAGAGCTGCTGCCTACAGGGGTGCTCTTAGTGAAACGGGTGTCAAGAGTGGAGTTCTAGAACAAATAAAGAGCCGAACCGATCACTGACTTTTTGTGTGGTGAACAAACGGCAAAAATCACAATCCTGAGGGTGTGTGTGTGTGAGAATTTCCTGAAGATGAACATCCAGAGGCTCGCACAAGGCTCTAGTGTTGCCAGCTCCGGATTTGGAAATTCTTAGAGATTTGGGGGTGGAGCGGGACCTCAGTGGGGTAAAAGGCAGCCATTTTCTCCTGGGAAACCGATCTCTGTCGTCATTTCGGGACATCTCCTGCCCCCAACTGGAGGCCAGCAACCAATGTTAGATTGCCAGTCTTATACTGGATAACGTGACCCGATGTGGGGAGAATGGAGACTGTGCTACCAAATCCAACCATCTTCTGTTCCTTTTTTGAAGGAGGGAGATGAGGTGACTCCTGTGAACTAACGTCCACACGGAAGACCCTTCTCAGACGGTCAACCCGGCCATCGCCATTCATAAATCACAATGCCAGTTAAGAAGTTCGGCACCCGCGGGCAACCCTATCGTTGCGTTACCTCAGAGGCGATTGACGTAAAGCTGCCACTGAAGTGAACGTGTTTGTGGACCTCGCTGCCATTGGCGGTCAGCAGCCACTTCCCAAACGCTCGTTCCTCCTCGCTCACCGACTGGTTGCTATGGCTCCAATTAGCCGAGATCCTTTCGAGGTCCCAGTGGTAAGGAGGTGTCGCCCCCACCAGTGCAATGAGGATGGCTTCGCTGGCAACGTAAAGCTGAAACGACACAAAAACGAGCGTCAAGATCGACACCGGGGCGCAGGAGCAGCTACTGCCGTGCGTTCGAAGAACCAATTTCCTTGTTCCGGCAACGCGATCGCCCAGAGGCGCTTTGCCTTCCTGATTAGACTCGATAAGATGAAACGTTGACGGTCTCTTCTGGTACCTCAGCTTCAGAAACGCTACTCCCCTCTTGTCAAGTCATGTCATGACAAGAAAGCGCTAACCAGAAACACAACTGGCTCTTACAAGAGGAGTGTTTTATTCTTGCCTCCCTTGCCCCAAACTATTTTATATCTTTCTAATTCGATGCTCGGTGCTGCGCTGTGAGGGGAGCCAGGCCTGCTCAGCAGGATCCCATCCTCGTCACCACTGTAAAGTACTGGGTTCTCCGCATGGAAGACAAGGACCACGACGTGCATTAAGACACGTTTATTGTACTTCACACATAAACTGCCAAACGGCCCTGCAAGGCCAACTATATACACACCCACCCAGCACACCCACAGTCCCATTGGAGGGTTTGAATTTCCCACCAAAGTTGCTATTGGTGACTGCTGGGAGAACTAGGATCCTAGGCTCCTATTGTTTAGAGGAGCTAAGCTCCACACTTCAGCCATGGACCCCTGGTGGCGGTCCGCGTACATAACAGCTTGTGACTGGATGAAACAGAAGAATTACCTCAGAAGAAGCTGTCTGATGAGTTATTCTCTGCTCTTAGCCTCTCCTCTTCCAAACAGGAAGCATGGGGGCGCCCTGTGGCTCAGTGGTGGAGCATCTGCTTGGAACACAGAAGGTCCCAGATTCAATCCCCGTCATCTCCAGCTAGAAGAATCAGGCGGTAGGTGATGGGACCTACCATCTGGAGAGCTGCTGCCAGTCTCAGTAGACAATACTGACCCTGATAGACCAATGGTCTGCTTCAGCAGAAGGCTTTAGGGGCGTGCATTTGACAATATCCGAGCCGGAAAAATAGTCAAAAAATTATTCCTTTAGCCGAATACACATTTGAGTATCTTTTTGCCTATCTGAACTAGCCGAGCCCCAAGACTCCCGATAATATTCGGGATTTTTCAGGACCGCCAGATAGTCAAAGGGTGTTTAAAAGGATTGCAGTCCCTTTAAACGCCTTCTGGGTGAACTTGCAGCTGGAGAAGGCATTCAAAGGGACCACAAGCCCTTTAAACGTCTTCAGATTTTTCACCTTGCAGAAGATGTTTAAAGAAGAAGAAGAGGAGAAGAGATTGGATTTGTACCCCGTCCTTCACTACCCAAAGGTGTCTCAGAGTGGCTTACAAACTCCTTTCCCTTCCCTTCCCCACAACAGACACCCTGTGAGGTAGGTGGGGCTGAGAGAGCTCTGACAGAAACTGCGCTTTTTCAAGAACAGCTCTTATCAGAGCTACGGCTTGCCCAAGGTCATCCAGCAGCTGCAAGTGGAGGAGTGGGGTATCAAACCCGGTTCTCCCAAATTAGAGTCTATGCACTTAACCACTACACCAAACTGGCTCACTTAAAGAGATAGCAATTCCTTTAAATGGCTTTTTCTCCCTCCATTGAAAATAGTGTTAGATGGGAGCACCTTCATTGAGGGCCCATAGAACTGGACCACTGATCCACTCTTTTTGAAACTTGGAGGTTTTTTGAGGAGAGACACCAGCAGCTATGCTGCAAGTTTGGTGCCTCTGTCTCAAAAAAACAGCTCCCCCCATCGTTTCACCATTATACCCTTCGAGACCATTGACTATAATGGTCCCCCATAGGCCATAATGGAGCCCAAAAAAATCAGAATTTCTGGAAAATCCCAAATCCAAATACCATACCAGCACTGGGATTCAGGAATATCAGAAGATACCGATATTTTTCAGGTTCAATATACCTGAACTCAAAAAATACCAATTTCTTTTTTTGCACACCCCTAGAGGACCCCTCCCTCCTTCCCTCCCTCCCTCCCTCTCTTTCTCCCTCTGTGTGTGTCTGTGGGCATTCCCAGATCATAAACTTTTGTAGAAACCCAGCACATACTCCATTTATTTTGGTTTTTATTGGAAACATTCGTATGGCATCTTTCCACCCAGCTTAGAGGCCTCAAGGAGAAGAAAGTGTGAGGATGTCTATTTCTTCAGTTAAAAGCAAGGAAGCGCTTTAGGTACAAACAGTGAAACATACTTCAAGTTCAGGAGTGGGGGGGGGGGGAGCTTCTAGGTGAAAATGCTGCACCACAGGAAATTTTATATTAGACATACTCAGACTCACTTTTACTATAAAATACACCTCAAATACACCTCACATGTGGCTCATGCTAGGTTCCTCAGAGCTTGACACCCACTTCCCACTCACCCACTCGCATTATAGAGGAAGATGAGCCAACGAAAGAGGCAAAACAGACACGGCTGCTGTGAAATATTTCAAAAGGTTTGTTGTTCTTTTTAATGGGGAAGGCAGGGGGAGCCAAGGATTGGTGGGTGAATTAAACTATGAGCCTTTCAAGTGTAAATCTCAATGCACGTGGAAAAGGGAGGAATAGATGCAGAAACGGTACCGTCACGGGTACATATGAGCCTCCTCATGGTGGTGGAAAGTGCCATCAATTATGGCAACCCTGTAGGGTGAAGAAGAAGAGGAAGAAGAAGAGGAAGAAGAGAAGGTTGGATTTATACCCCACCCCTCACTCGGAGTCTCTTACAAACTCCTTTCCCTTTCCTTCCCCACAACAGACACCCTGTCAAGTAGGCGGGGCTGAGAGAGCTCTTTCAAGAACTGTCCTTGAGAGAACAGCTCTGACAGAACTATGGCTTGTCCAAGGTCATCCAGCAGCTGCGAGTGGAGGAGTGGGGAATCAAACTCGGTTCTCCCGGATTAGAGTCCGCGCACTTAACCACAACACCACACTGGCTTATAGACAAGAAATGTCCAGAAGTGGTCTACCATTGCCTGCCTTTGTGTAGTGACCCTCAGAGCCAGTTTGGTGTAGCGGTTAAGAGCATGGACTCTAATCTGGGAGAACCAGGTTTGATTCCCCACTCCTCCACTTGCAGCTGCTGGTGTGGCCTTGGATCAGTCACACGTTCCCTCAGAGCTGTTATCTCAAGGGCAGACCTCAAAAGAGCTCTCTCAGCCCCACCTACCTCACAGGGTGTCTGTCGTGGGGAGAGGAAGGGAGACTGTAAGCCGCTCTGAGACTCCAAGTGAAGTGCATGGTATAAATCCAACTCTTCTTCTTCCTTGGTGGGCTCCCGTCCAAATACTAACCCTGACCCTGCTTCGCTTCTGATATCTGACCAGATCTGGCTAGCCTGAGCCATCTGGGTCAGAGCAGAGACGTTCAGAGGTGGGTTGCCATTCCCTGCCTCCACGTAGCAACCCTGGACTTCCCTGGCGGTCTCCCATCCAACTACTAACCAGGGCCGCCCCGCTTAGCTTCCAAGATCTGACCAAATTGGGTTAGCCTGGGCTCTCTGACCTATTTAAGAGTCCCCTCATAAATCAACAGAATTAGCATTATGGCATCCTTGCTGGTGAGGGAGGTCAGAGGTTCAAGCAGACAAGCCCTCATATAGAAAGGGGGGGGGGAGTTTGAATTCCACCAAAGAGGAAAGGCAGCAAGAAGGCAGATCTCCTTCCTTTGCCAAACACAGCTGAGCTTAGTCATGAGCAGAGGGTAGGAGCTGACCCCTGCCTTCCAAACACCAACCGGACAGACAAGCAACACTCTTATTGAGCAGTACCAAAGGAATGCCATTCCAGGGGCAAGTCAGATGAAAGGGGGTCTGCCAACTCTCTTGTTCTGGCCTGGATCCTGTGCCTTTGAAAGCTCCTTGGACAGGTCACGGAAGCCGACGGAGCTCTCCTGACCGCTGCGTGCCCGTGAGAAGTACAACTAGTCAAACCAGTGTCTGTCCATCACCTTACAGTGGCGCAGGAGCCAGGCTAGACTGAGAGAGTTGGCAACCACGTTGCCAAACAGCCCAAGTTACAGTGAGCACCACAGCTGTTAGGTCGTGTTGTACGTTTAGCGGGTGGCTGCCTCTGTGCTGTGACTGTGGTCCATCCTGGCCTCTACCCGCTGGAGGGCCACCTGGAAAGAGACGCGAGGACCGTAATGAGGAAGGTCCAGCAGTAGCCACTAACAATAACTCTGCAAGTCTTCGAGTTCTTCTATTCCTTGCCCCCAGTTCTCCCACAATGGGATTCACGGACACAGCAGGCACTGGATTCTCTGGGACGATACCTTCCCATCCCTTTGCATTGGAACTCTGCCTGCAGTTTCTACTTGGGCCACCCCATGGAGCCCTGTTTCTGCAAAAGCGGTTTTGCCAGTGGCAACAATGGCTGGAGCAGCAGAGAAAAACGGCTGTGTTCTCAACATCCCTTACGTGCCCACAGAGATACATCGTCAGGAAGCTGCGCCGACATCACACTGGCTGCATATCTCCATGGGACCCTGCAACGGACAGCCCCCAGTTCCATCCTCCGGGCATCCCAGCAAATGCTTGCCTACAGTTTGGTGTAGTGAGTGGGAGCGCGGACTCTAATCCGGGAGAACCGGGTTTGATGCCCCGCTCCTCCACATGCAGCCAGCTGGGTGACCTTGGGTCAGTCACAAGTTCTCTCAGAGCTGTTCTCTCAAGAGCAGTCCTCAAAAGAGTTCTCTCAGCCCCACCTACCTCACAGGCAATGCTCCCTCTAAGCTGTGGAGTCGTGTGAGCAAAAATTCTACTTTGTGAGCTACTGACATTAAAGTTATGAGTGAGCAATTTGGCTACTGCATATATTAGTTTGCTCTGGAGCCATTTTTCCTGAGCTAAGACAAAAATGTGTGAGCCGGAGGCTAAAAAGCTGTGAGCTAGCTCACACTAACTCAGCTTAGAGGGAACACTGCTCACAGGGTGTCTGTTGTGGGGAGGGGAAGAGAAAGGAGACTGTAAGCTGCTCTGAGACTCCAAATGAAGGGCGGGGTATAAATCCAATCTCTTCTTCTCTTCTCTCTTCTTCTT